GACGGAGTTGGCCAGCCGGGCAAAATGTAGAGGCATGATCAAGCGGGTAAATAAACAGACAGGACCCGTCGAATGTAATGACGCGTTAACGGTGTCGGAAGAGACAACGATGGCTGAGACGACGCCGCAGATATCGTCGTTGGAAAGGGCTCGCCGAAAAAGAACGTGGAAACACAAGAAAAGATCGAGCGAGCACCGCAAAAAGGGGCGCAAGCGCTGCTCGAAGTACTCAGGATAAGTGCTGAGGTCGAATCTGAATGTGTTGGGCAGTGCTGAGTGCCATATGTTGTGTTAATATTGTGTTATCCTGTGTCACAAGTGTCGAAGTGTTGTGCCGTGATGTGATGAATAGTATTGGTCCATTGTTGTAATGAGAGAACTTCGTACAATTGTATTATTGGGAATGTGTGGTGCAGTGTTGTACTCATGTGCTTGTGGTGGTGTTTTCACGTGTTGTTTAATTGAATTACAATGTACAATTGTATTAAGTGATCTATTGTGAATGTGAAGTGTCATGAGCGACTGATGGTGTTACAGTCTGTGAGAGTGTGTGGTGACTTTTCGCGCTCGTTTGTGTGGTTTTGAATATTATGAGATAATATTCTTAAAGTGGGGGGCAGTGTCACAGAACGAGCGCTAAACAAGAGCGCGCCGCCAAATCCTTGCGACAACGGGCGGCAGAAACGCCGCGAGGTAAAAAGAAAAAAAAAGAAAGCCAACATCCAGGGCTCCCGGGCGCGCGCTCTCCCCGCAGAAGCACGGCTTCGCAGACGATCCTCCTCACCCCACATCGGCGGCCCAGCAAGACCGCGATTTTTCTAGAACGAAGGAGGCGGGGTCAGACCGAGTGAATCATCCTCCGGAGAGGGCAGTCGAACCGTCTCGTGCCTCTCCCCAGCCTTCGCTGCGTATCGCGCCGACGAAATGACGAGAAACATCTGGAAAGTCGCGCGCAAGGTATTTAACCGAGCAGCCGAGACGAGAAATCAGGAGGAGACGGAAGTGAGCGCCAGAGTGCGTAGAGATTCCGCCGTGTAGGCGGCGAAGTTTTTGGTCCGTAGGGACGGCTCGAGCTACAGGCAAGAGCGTGGGTTTACCGCTATCGAGCGAAGACGCGGGCAACAGCTGCGGGTGTGAAGCCGACGTGTTCCGGCGAAGACGTTGAAGTTTGGAGAGTGGCCAATTGAAGAGGCGAGGTTTCCTGGAAGAGAACTTCGAGAGCTGCGGAACGACAACAACGCTGGACTTTGAGTGAGTGATTCTCGGAAGAGTATCATTCAGACTTTTGTTCCAAGGACTTTGGACTGAATAGGTTTTATATCTCTTTAGTCTTTAAGTGTCTTGGTTGTTCAATGCATGCGACTGCATTGTAGTGCGTATTGTTGTCTGTGTCCGTTGTTTCAAGTGTGGTTGATTGTACTGTGTAGTACATTGTCTGTTTGGTGACGTATTGTATGTAACTATTGTGGAGTGTGCATACGTGTGTATTGTTTTTGATCTGCCGTTAATGAGAATATAATTTTGTTTGTTTATCAACTCTCGGCTCTGTCTTGTTCTTTGGGCCACAGCCGGCGTCCGCTGGCGCACCAATAAGGACCACTTCTAAATTGTCCACGCTTTCGTGGTGCGGTTCGGGGGGCCGATACTTCGGCTCTTGGAATTAGCCCGGCGATCGCCTCCCTAATAAACGGGACAGGTGTGACACCACGCCAACGCAGTCTATCCGGAACGTGCCCTTACTAATACATTCCAACAATCATTTTTCATACGCACATCCCGAGACTGGAATGACCTACCTGCTGAAGTTGCTACCATCATGGACCAATCTCGTTTCAAACACGCCATTGTAGTGCCCCCATAATTAATGTACCCATTCTGTTGCTGTCACTACGATATTGTAACCCTCCTTTCTAGTATTGTGCCGCACCCCTTATATAGAAGTGCCGCCATAACTTCTGTAGATAGTCTGTTACCAAGTTGTTACCCTTTTTTCAAGTGCCGTGTCATGCCCACCCCTCATGTAATGTCCCTATGGGACCTTTGAGGAATAAATAAATAAATAAATAAATAAAATATCACTGAATCATGTGGTTGGCCCTGTAAACATATCCTGCATTGTAACAATGCGACTAAATCTTGAAGTGCCACAAAGCAATTTACTCAGGTGGTAGGTACACCCACGTGATGCTATACTACACCTTACGTTGTTTGCCTGGGGAAGTCTTTGGATTTCCCGTGTACTTGGGTGTATGTGAAAGACTCTCTAATTGTGATATACCTAATTGTGCCTACAAGTGGACAAAATTGGTTAGTGTTTATGTCATTACATTATTACATGGAAGAAACTACGTGATTTCTTTGTCATAGAATACGTGAGTACATCTCTTATCGGTACAAGTTACACTCCCTCAGTAACAATCGTTGTATCCATATAATAAAGCTCAGTCTTCTACCCACTCCCTCTGTTCCCTTGAGCAGAGCTCTCCCAGCTGCGTAGCGGCTGTTGCTACAGAACGGAGTGGAAGATTGGTTGCTTCTCGGTGTCCGTCCTGTTTTGTCGTGGCTGCTGCTGCTTGTTCGGGGATGGAGGCCAGCACATTTTAAACGTTACACCAACTCGACTTTATATACAGAAACTTATGTACATATTTACAAGACTTGACCGTCGGAACCGTCGCATGTTGCCTCGGAAGAGCCGATAGTGCAGAGCACTCTTTGTTGCGACCAGACTCCCCTGCGAGGACTCGGAAGCCAGGTTTTAATACCTCGGTTGCCCCTCCCGATTCTCCTCACGGCCAACCAAAGCAATTTAGCCCGTTTATTGGACAGACAACACACTTGTTGCCGTCCCCTCCTCTCGCTCTCTTCTTCCCGCACTCGACTGCTCGGTCGGAAAGAGAGAGACGAAAGGACCGGCCTGCACCCAAAGTTCCGCGAACTATGCGAACGCACACAATGCTGGCGCCGTTCGGCTGTGGGCCTCCTGCATTACCGCGAGATGACTACGCTGTCCAGCATGACAGCCGTCCCGTGGACTCTACTCCTGACGGATGGGTGGCTATGCGCTGTCCTCCCCTCACCCGCCGGCAATCCGCAGTCCGGGGACCATTTAGCTGGTTGCTAGAAGCGGCGACTCACCACGGTATTCTTGCCAGAAGGGGCGCGCTTACGCCGAGATCATCGTTTCCCGAGAATAGGCTTTTTGGGAAGCGCGCCCTTTTGAGACCGAGAAGACTCGCTCCCATTGCCTGCGACGCCAGACCTTACACGCCTTTTCTAAGATTCGCGCAAGCGCTCAAGCTCAAATGCAGCTGCGCGAATAACAACATAAAGGTATGGCGCCGCCCGTCCCCAACCCTGTGGCCATACCTCGCAGTTCCTTGAACGTCAGAGGCGTTTCTGCAACACGTGCAATATTTTCTCTTCTTTAAGCGCGAGACAGATGTGCGATTTTCTCTACGATGCGACGTGCGGCGTCGCATGGTGCGGCGTGCCGCATGCGACGTTTTGAGACACATGGAGCAAAAACTGCCGGTTCGCCGGATAGTTGAGGCTCCGCCTTTCGCAGCGTTGCCTGACCAGCAATGTGCTTACAAAAAAGAAAAAGTACGTAAAAGTCCTCTGTTTCTTGACTTCAACATAACAAAATATAAAAAGAAACTCAAAAAATTTAGTTACTGCAATCTATTCCGAGAAACGTAGCGAGTTTGTATACGTACGTTTGTGTAACTACCACTCAGTTTAGAAGAAGTTGCTTCAATATGTTGGCAACAGTGGCAGTAGTCAGCGTTGTGTCGTGCTTGATTAGAGAGACCTTTCACTCTACTTCGGCTGCCTGTTATTGTTGTTCGCGGGCCACCGACATGGTTTTGACGAAGCGCCGAAAGCGACTGCTTCTGTTAAAGAAGAAGGTCCTTTTGGCCCAAATGATGCTGGAGGATCAACGCCAGCGGACGTGGTGGGTGCGCCCGTCATGGCGAACGCGGCACGCCGAGAGTGAATTCTTCACCACCGCACGTATACCAGTTATCGCATTACCGCCAATAAATTACATTGCTAGTTGCGCACGCATTAAAACATTTCGCTGCGCGTTAAAACGAAGCATAATACTAACTCAAGATGGTTCCTCGTCAGAGCATTAAATGTGCATTGCGATTCTATATTTTCTAAGAAATCGTTGTTTGAAAACGTTCTAATCTCGTTTGTTTATGTGATCTTAACGTTCTTCAAAAGTAAGTTGATCATCGACAGTGCGGGCGAGCTGTCAATTAAAAAGTGTTCGCGACGACAAAGAACACACGGCAGCACCTCACTCCGCGTGGACCAATCAATAATTGTGACTGCCTGGTTATCAGGCTGATTCGCGCCTTCTCCCCCCCCCCTTTATTTTCATATTAGTGCACAGCCGTCCTGTGCTCAATACACTGCTTGCTCCGATGAAAATAAATATTTCATGCGTACCCTTAATTCCATAAATTTTCATCCTAAAAGTGAACCACTTCTTTCATTATTCAGATTGGCACAAATCGATTTCACCTTGCATGGAAGTCGTATTCTGCCGGCCACATTTTGTTGAGGGCAATTTCGGGCAATCAGTGCACAACTACTTCTTTTTATTTACTTAAAGTTATTCGATTGTGCTTGTGACTGCCAGAGATAGATTTCTAATTTGGTCATCATTTGAGACTGACTCTGGAACATGCATGAAGTAATCTCCTTGGCCTGTATGGAGCAATACACATGCAATATACGCGACACATATTTCTAGAAGTGTTGAGCTATGGATATGCTGCTCGCTTAGGTGCCAGTCAACATAAATCTGCATAGTTATGTTTTGTGACCTTTGCTGGGAAAGAAAAAAAAAGCGAAATTATTGTTTCTATTTCAGATGAAAAAAATGCGTGCTGGGGACCTGGAATACTTCAAAAAGTACTATCGCATGTCCCCATCACAATTTGACTATATCCTCAGTTTGGTCAAGGAAGACTTGGAGAGAGGCACCTTCATCCGAGAGCCCATATCTTCAGCAGAGCGACTTGCTATGACCCTGAGGTAATACAATTTCTCTGGAACCTTGTGGCAGTGCACTTGTATTTTAAATGTTTGTTTAATGCATGATGAATATTTTTAATGCCAAATGTACTATAGGATTACATGCATAATACACATATGTAGTGCATTACTTCACCTACTTAAGTAAATGCTGTGATTGTTTCTCATGTAAACTTGCTCATAATGTTATATCAAGTATGGCGATTCAGTTTGCTTTGTCAGCACCTGTCTATGTTATCCATGGCCAATTGAAGTGGCGTATATTGCGACACCCATGCACAGCAATGGACAATGTGTCATGCATAGGGTACTAAACGGGCGCAAGCACGAGGAGACAACACGGCAGCGGTAGGCGACGGAGTCTGTAGGTACCCGGGCATGTCGGTGGCGCATTTTGGAAGTGACGAAGGAGCGCTGCGTGACGCACGTGCACACTATGTATTGAGGACTGTTGTCTTGCAAGATATGCAGAAATCTTACAATGTGTCCTGCAGTTCATTTCTCATTTGATTGTGCAGCATCACCTTGATTTCAGCTGCATGTGGCCATTGTGTTTGACAATATGTAAGCTGTAAACACTCGAACTTTCTGAAAAAAAACTAGCCAGCTGATGTGGCTAGGAGTTCCTCAAACCAGTTGGCAGTAACGAAGTCATGGCAGGACAACGGATAATGTTTTCAAACAAAGGCACAGCAGTTTTGTAAGCGTAATCTATGAGGTGCAGAATTTTTACACCTCTATTGAAAGCATAGCGTTGTGTTGATATATATTATGATTACGTACAAAATTGCTTTGCCTACACAGCTATGCACTTCAACTTCAGTTTGCATAATTTATGCTACTTTGTAGTGATGGCAATATGACAAGAGAAATTGCATGCCAATAGTTCCAAAAATTTCTATTGTAGTTAATCTCTTTTACCACATTTGTCAGTACCTCACATGGTCATCGGGCTAATTGGATGTGCGTACATAAAAACAGTGCTGCAAAATAGAATGTGGAGGGCACATTATTTGTTTAAGGAGTACTTCATCAATGGCAAGTTTTGAGTGTTGTACAACTTCCTGTTATTACAGAGCTTTAGTGCCATGGCCCCTAAAGTACTTGCATACACAAGCTCATTCCGTTACTTGTTTTGTTTCTTTTTTTCTTTTATGTGGCCGTTGAACAGATTTTTACTTTTATGTGGCTGTTGAACAGATAGAAGAAAGGACTTGTGCAATACGATGCTCAAACAAATATCCAGTGGCCAGAGACCCTTGGAACTAAAGCTTTCTTTTCTCATGCAACATTTGTGCCTGTAATACACCTAAGGACCACATGTAATAACTATACAGAGTATCCATACTTGGTTCGAGTTGCAATTGAATTTTGTTATGGCAATATAAAATCTTTATATGGCTCTGCAATGGCTGACTAGAAACCAACTAAATTTAAATGCAGGTATCTGTCCTCAGGAGCCCTCATGCAAGACATTGCCCTATCATTTCATGTGGGCATATTCACAGCTCGTGAGGCCGTGCAAGAGACACGTGCGGCACTTTGGTCCAGACTGAAACCACTGTACATGCCTGTAAGTAGATGAACATGTAAAGGTGTGGCTGAATATTCAAAACTTGTAACCATAGTTTCCTTCCAAAGGCGGTCACACACATGTCATCGGTATAATGATTTCCATATCACAGTGTGGTGTGTGGAAGGTACAGTAAGTCATAGAGTCGAAATCATTAACAGATCTCGATAACTAATGGTCGCACAGCCGCACATTTGTAATGAACTGTGAAATGCACTTGTACATTTCAACAAAATTGAATCACCAATTGCTGATGGTCAACTGAATGAAACAGTTCCTCAATGTGGCACTAACACATGCATCAGAAGCACCACCTTTACAGAATCAACTTGCGACACAACGTGGTCACTTCAGCAATCGCTTGTGCAAGTTATGCTTGAAGTTGAGATGTCGCATTTTATGCCATGCCTGCTGTACATGTGTATTCACCGTAACCTAGTTGGCTGTGTTTCTTCTCCTCAGTTTTAGTTCCTGTTTCTGGAGCATTATTCGTGCCCTATTTTTCATTGGCATATTCAGTTGCAGTAGTTCATTCTTTCTTCACCCTACTTGTCAGGCTATTTTATTCTTCTTACTGATCTGGCTGACTTGGTAAAGTGATAATAATATGACAATTTTCATTTCTTCTTTTCTTGCATCAAATGAAAGGCCCTTCCCTTGAAGAACCTCAAAATGTTGTGACATTACCAAATCAGTTAGCACTTGATTTGGTAATGTCACTTGTTAATGAAAAGAGAGGTCATAACCTTCAGATGCCTTTCTCGAAATCCATTAAATACATACAAAGATGATGTTGCAGACATGCAAGAAGCATGCTGTGTAGTGAGCAAAGCATACTGAAAAAGAACTGTGTGTTCTGGCTATCTATGGCACCCTGTGGCTTGCCAAATGTAGCCAGAAGTGAAAGTCAAGTCCACTTCAACATGTCCAGCTTTGTACCTTACTTTAAAATGCACACTTCTGCATGCTTCAAGCCATCGTGAGGATTCGTGAGCTATCTTTAAGAGGAGAGCAATGACCTTTCATTGAAATAGATGCATACGGAAGGTTATTAGTTTGCCAGTGGCCTGAAGGGGTCAACAGTGCATAGCGGCTCAGGCAAAAACTACAGTCGGCCATGGTACATGAAGCTAAGGTTTTAAACTGTGGACAGTTTTTGATTTTTGAGGCTTCCTCTCAGCGATAAAATGAAGCTTTCACTGGCCTAGATATCTCCACTTCCATGGCACAGATCCCACAATGTTATCATTACTGATAAAATTACTGCTTGTTTCATTTTAGGAGCCAAAGACGGAGACATGGCTGCATATCGCTGAAGGATTCAGCCGGACTTGGCAGTTTCCGAACTGTATTGGGGCTGTTGATGGAAAGCACATACAGATTGTGTCCTCCGAACTCTGAAAGTATGTACTTCAATTATAAGGTTAGTATGTATAATGTTCTGGTGCACACTGCAGACAATTTAATTCTGTTAAAATTGCTATTTATTGCGCATGAATTTTATGTGCCGTTGTAAGCACTGAACACATAGTACGTTTCAGTGTGCTGTCTGAATGGTGGCATCAGATGTTCCGATGTGTGGCATATGATGCCATGATCTTTACAAAGCACACATGCACGTTGGTTTGTCATACAGTACATCGTACTTGCAGCAAGTATGATAGTATTCCCTAACACTCTCACGAACTTTCTTTTGGTAACATGTATTATAACAGGGCACTCTAGGTAACTTCAATAAGAATATTCTTAGGAGTTCACTCCAATTTTTTGTCAAGTTTTACTTTGAACTGTTACAAAATAATCAAGAAATTATAGAATTGGCTTCACACCAAAAATTTTGCTATTCACATAGCTCTACCTATGTCCCTTTTTCTTCTTGAAGCTAGGATGGAATGTTGGTGCATGTGCAGTTATAAATTACAATACAGTTTCCATGCATGCATTGTTAAAAGTTAACCTTGCGTTTAATTAGAAACACTAGATGTGAACTCCTATGTTGCAACCCCATTAATTTGGCCTCTCAGCACATCAGCATTCTAAAGCATCTAGTATAATGTTACACAATCCTATTGTATGCATACTCATTGCAGGGCACATACTCCATTGTTCTGCTTGCCGTGATCGACAGTGACTACAAGTTCGTGATCGTCGACGTTGGTGCTTACGGCAAACAGGGTGATGGTGGAGTCCTAGAACAATCAAAGTTTGGGTGTCGCTTGGAGAATGGAAAGCTTCATATCCCGCGAGACCTGGAACTTCCGAACACGTCCCACCCAGCGCCTTGCGTGTTTGTGGGAGACGAAGCCTTCCAACTCCACACCGACTTCCTACGGCCATACCCTGCACGAGGGCTAGAGAGCGAGAAGCGCATCTTCAATTACCGATTGAGCAGAGCAAGGTAAATTAGACAAACCTGTATTTGAAAGGAAGTGTTCAATTTTCTTCTTTAGTCCCAGTGTGTTAACTTGGTACTCATTTTGGCGAATCTGTTAAGCACTTGCTTTTGAAGATAATAAATTTATGCCAACTAAAAATGTGCAGTATCAGCTAAGCATGAGTATTTCATCGCCGGGTATAATATAGTTGGTTTTTTGATACCACATGCCAAAAAAAGCCATGGACTTGCAGTATGTTTACGAACATATTACGCCTCATTTAATCTTCAGTCTTTTAAAAACTCTGCCAAACAAGTACTCAGATTTTAGTTATCGACTAATGTTGCAAGTGTTGCATTGTTTCGAATGTGGGACAACCGCAAGGGGGAATGAACAACTGGCAAAGCATTTCAAATTTTGGTGTGAGTTGAAAGTGTATTTGTAAACTTGCCGGTGTCATCTTCCAACGCTCATGTGATGTAGAGATTGTACTTCAAGCGACTCCCTCGATAGACGCTACCACCCTTGCTTTGTTGTGCTTCCAAGACTTTGCATAGTGCTACTGAAGTAGCAGGAAACGTTGCTGGCTGGACTAGTTGCCATTCTTCCACTTCCAATATGAACTACTGTTGTACGGCACTTTGACGTATCAATATCTACCAAGGGAACGAATGTCCGAGATACACAATGCAGGCGAACTGTTGTGGATTTTTTTAACATGTATAAACAGCATGGGAAATTTGTGTAGTTGTCATTCTGCACGTGGTCATTTAAGTCGTGTGGCAACCGTTTCTGAGCCATCCTGCGCATTATGTATTCTCCACCTTCACTATATATCAATGAACTGAATTTTATTGCCTGTACAAATTTTCAGTGTGTTGGATTTTTTCGACAATATTGCAGTCATCACCAAGCATGAAAAATTGGTCGGCGACTGTAGCAACACTGTCAGAAGTCAAGTTACCAATTTTGTCCAGTAGTTTTGACAATGCTCCGGACTGATCTAGTTAGTGCTGTGGTGCTGTAGACAAGCTTTGTTTGATGTTATATCACCATACAGGACGAACATGGTAGCCGACGTAAGCTTATGGCATCTAGTTTACGTTGTGACATGTTCCATTCTGCCCTCACATCCACAGTATGTGCATTACCATGTTCCTTAAATGTGCATTGTTTAAATTTGTTGTTGCTGTCTTGCATATTTTTTGCATGCCACAAAATGTTCGCTTTGACTGTTTCGTGGCAGTGCTCCTTTAATTTCGCATTCACACGGGGGACAGAATTCTCGGACGGGCAGCATGTCACATGGGCTCACATCAGTGATTCTTCCTACCTACACCTCATCACAGGAGGCTGATGTAATTAACCCGTTTTTCATTGGGAGTCTAGCGACGAAAAGTTGAGGCTTTTCCCTGTGTCAATTTTGGCACCACGAAGTGGCACCAAAATTTCTGCTACTGTTGTTGGTGATTGTTCAGAAATAGAGCTGAAAGTATATGTTTACCTGAGAGTGATGGGATGGGGACTGAAATGGTAACTTGTCATTTATGCTTTTTTCTTTCTTTTTTTTCTGCATGAAATAGGAGGTGTTCCGAGAACGCTTTCTGGATTCTGGTGACCAGATGGAGAATCTTGGCGCGGACCATGGGCGAAGAGCCAAAACAAGCTGAAAAGACGGTGAAGGCCCTCTGTGCTCTCCACAACTTTCTAATGCACGGAGGCACTGTAGATGAGGATGCATATTGTGGCCCTGGCTTTGCTGATTCTGTGGATGGCTTAGGGCAGCGGCGGTCTGGCCATTGGCGTGAGCTTCTTGCACAGCCGCCAATGCAAGTGGCTCGTACACAGGCACGCCACTTTGCCAAAGCAGCTCGGCAAGTCAGGAACCTGTATGCTACTTATTTCTTCAGTGAAGTAGGCAAAGTGCCTTGGCAGGATAAGATCTTGTGTCTTGTCAACACAGGGCCCAATGCAGCACTATCTGTTTCCCAGTGAAGAGGAATTTTTTTTTTAGTAATTTGATATGAGGGGTGTGACGTCCCAAAACCACCATATTATCATGAGAGACGCTGTAGTGAAGGGCTCTTGAAATTTCGACCACCTGGGGTTCTTTATCGTGCACCCATATCAGAGCACACGGGCCTACAGCATTTCTGCCTCCAACGAAAATGCATCTTTATTTAGTAAAGGTGTTAAAGAATACGTGCCACTGTGGGACCCAGCTGAAAACTATCACCACCATAAAATGGGTATGTGCCACACAAATTGTGTCAATCCCACTACTCATTATTAGTCAACTAAAGATGAAGGTGGTTACAGTTGGTCCAACAAATGGCTGTGAAATTATGGTGGAGTGCCAACGGCATTGCGTATCAACAACGAGAAAATAATGGGGGAAAATAAAAGGCAAGGGCAGCTGCGAGAAGACCTTGATTGAAGGCTGATGAGCACAATGACTTGCCCGTAGTCTCCGAGAGGTGCAAACACTTGGTTTCACTGAGACTTTGTCTTCAAAGTTAGGGCAACCGTGTGTCTGTGACTGTTTAAATGGTCAACCTGCCCTTGCTATCTGAATGACGTCATCGTTTTCTCACCCACTTTTGAAAGCCACCTTCCCCGTCTGTCAACCATACTTCATGCCCTTCGGCGAGCTGGCCACCTCTTCATTTCCTGTTTGGCCATTATTTTTCGTTATCTTTTGATACCCTGCTTCTGTTTAGCCAAAACCAATCATCCCGAAACTCTACAGCATGTGTGGCTGTGCCGAAAATAGACGCACACTCGGTAGGATCTGGCATGTATAGAAAGATTTTGTTGATTTTGTGCGGTGGATAGGAGCTTAGTAGCAGGCGTCAACAACCAATGGGTCTTCGCAATTTGTCGTCGCACTTCGACTAATGTAAATAGAGGTGCTGATCACTTCCAAGAAGCTTCACGAGAGGTGTTAATAAATTTAAAATAAAGCATCAAATTTAGAAACACAGTTCGCAAAGGTAAACAAAGTTTTTCTAACAGGCACAGAAGCTGAGAACAGTGGCCGGCAGAAGGTTGTCAGCAATAGAGGAACCAAATGCATGAGTGAGTGAGAAACCATACTAAGAAACTGCACCGAGCGCACTGGAATGGGGACAGTGCATGTCATCAGGTGCTTTCTTCTGCATCTTCAAGGGGTAACCATGTACTATGTGGATCAGTTGTTGACAAATGGTTCACCTTGCCCGAGAAACGCACAGTCACAAAATGCACAAACAGGTCCTTCAATGTGTGATTGTGATGAGGTTGTAGAAGGAGAGTAGAAGTTAATTTCAGGCCACAGCACTCTGCCTCAATTTGTGTAGGTGTTGATTGGACAGCACTACGAGCAGGCAGCACAATGGCAAGTCAAGGCGGACTCCCTGTATCATGGGCATTTGCTCAGAATAGGACGACTACAGGAAGGCACTGAAAAGAATGCCCCACTACAGCATTCCAAGGCTCTGCTACGTGTTTAATATTGTTTTGTACTGTCAGAAATTACTTAGTTGTAATAATCAAGCCCCTTATTACATTGTTTCCGGCGGCATCTAAAACATTTCTTACTAATAACATGCGACACCTGAATATATATATATATATATATATATATATATATATGTGTTGTGTGTGTGTGTGTGTGTGTGTTTAAATATGGTTATATGCATTTATGTGTACGTGTATAGGTTCTGAAGTAACACTGTATTAGTTAGTGATATGTATGTGTTATGTTATAGTCATTTATTCCAATTAGTTATCTCCTGTTTTATCACTTACATGTAAATATCTTGAACTACCATAATTTTCAATAATATATTTCATTACGTTCATTTTGTTTGATTCGCTTGCCGTTTTTCCTTAGTTGCCAATCTTTGTTCTATACTATTATACATGTTCTATACTATTATACATACTATTATACATACTATAC